TTTTCTTACCATTTTCTTTTAAGACTTCTTCATTGCTTACTCACTCCATCCATGGAATTCTCAGTATCCTTCTGTAGAACCACATTTTTACTGCTTCTAGGTTTTTCCTCATCCTTAGGGAAATTGTCCAACACTCACTGCCATATAAGAGGATGGATACCACATAGCAATCCTGCACTCTTTTCTTTCTTTCTAACAATTTTTTTTCCAAACAAGGATTAGTTATTCTATTGTTCTTACACTTTTTAAAATGGTAATATTTGTTTTTATGTGTAGCCTGTATATTTAATGGTGTTGCATTCTCCTCTATTTGTGCCATGTTATGTTTTAACTTTTATAATCTCTCACATTCTTTTGCAACAGTGTTACGGCTGACACAACACAAAATAAGAAGAACCAGATTCAAAGAAATTATGGTTGAAAAAAAAAAAAGAGATTACATCTAGTAACGAAATGTGGATTTTATTTTACATATAATAAATATATTTTAGAACAATAGGAATGAGGTTTAAAACAAATATAAGTTAGGAAATGCTAACAAGTTACTAAGTGTGTGAGACATCGGAAAGTAGTTGGCTTAATGTGTAAACTATACAAAGGAGTGGGAGAGGAAATCCACTGTAGTTAAGATAAGGTGATGGATGGGAATTCGTTGCTAGTCCAAGAATTATATTATTTTCTTCTTAGAAAAAGTTTAATTAATTCACATATATATAAAATAAAAGAGTTTGGTTAATAATATCAAGGAATTTACCGATAGTCTTTTCTATTCAAGGACTGTAGGAATTTAGATTCCTTCGGCTGAAGTTTTGTTCTTGAATCAAAAGGACCGGAGTTGACCTCAATAGTCGTGTCTGTGGGTTCAGGAGGCACCTGGCTAGTTGGTATGAACTCCTGTTTATATATGTTTTTTGTACCCTCTAGAACCCAGTAGAAGTTTCTATAGACTTCTAGAAAGTTCCATTCTATTATTACGAAATCTAAAGGGTTTGGTGAATGGTTTTTCATATGGTAAAAAGGGCATCTACTAGCTACAGATTTAAGTCATGATTTTAAGTTAGATTTTTTATTTTATAGTATAAGCGTAAAGAAGTAGGACAAAATAGGGCCTCGTAACAAACTCGTCTCTCTTTTGCTTGAATACTGAGTTTTTTTTCCAGTCTCCTACACATCTCTTAATGACTGAGTGTAAGTTTTGTATTGGATTAATAGTTGTGTCTGGGGTGACATTTCATTAATTTAGTATTTGAAAAATTTTTCACAAGGTTGGTATCAGTCATCTTTGTGTAATGAGGAAATAGCATTGTCTTGCATGAATCAATATACTTTTTAGCTTAATGCTTTTTGGCTATGACCTTTAACATTAAAAAAAAAAAAAATCCAAGAATATGAAATAATTCTCAGCACTTGATATCATCATGAATTTTTAAAGGTTCTATAATTTCACTGCTTACAATACTAGCCAAAAACAATATTCTACCTTCACACTTTATTGTCTATTTATATAAAGGACCCAAACTCTAGCCCAGCCATCAGATCCATCCAATGTAACTTGACATTTAACATTAAAAAAATATTGTTTGGAACTATTTTTACGTACTTTTCCCAACACTGATATTTCTCTTGTGGGAATTATTTAAAGCTGGTAGTTTGATTGTTTTAGCCAATGTTCCTAATATTCTTCATTTTATCTCTCTGGTTACATTTGTAACACCAGATTCTTTAAATATCTTCCTGCTGGCCAATCCACTTTTCTTGTTCATTATTACCCTTTTAATTTTTCTTAAACCTCTAGTTTTAGTGACATTCTTAAAGCTCATATTTTTTTTTTCTTGTTCTTATCTTGCCAATGTTTTCAATTATTTTATGATTTCTGTTCAACCTTTTTTTTTCAATTGTGTTCCCATCACTCAATCACTTAAAGTATCTTCTCTCTTCACATCACAAAAGTTCAACTAGCTCACCTATATGGCCCAACCAATGTAGCATTAGATCCATCACTAAAATGTACTGTTTAGAAATCAGTTTTCTTGCTGTTCTTTGCCCACTTTAAACATTCCTTTCTGTGATGTTTATTTAAAATTGTAGTTTTGATTCTTTTATGTCTAGATAATTAAACTTCTTTTATGTTCTAACTAATTAAAACTGTATATTTACATTTGCAACAGGAATTTCTTCAAATATTTTCTTGCTGATCAATTCCTTTTACTTGTATAAAACCCTTTTTATTTTCATCTTTTTTTGTGAAATTCTTAAAGCAAGTATTCTTGGCATTTTCTTTTTATCTTGCCAATATTTTTCTATTTCTCTTTTGATTGTTCTATGATCTTTTTGCAATTTCCAATGTTGTGTTCCTCTCACCTAATAACTTGACAATATCTTGTTTCTCTTTTGAGCTTTGGTCTCTCTTGCATTCCATGGCAATTTTTTCCTGGCAGAAATAAGTATCAATAACTAAACTATTATATATACTTATTTACAATACAATGAATTACCCTAAGTTTCATAAATAAATGTCTTATAACCATATATATACTTGAGTATAGTGCAAGTTTTTATGGTCAGATTTTATACAAAAACACACACACATATATATATATATATATATATATATATATATATATATATATATATATATATTTTAAGAGGTTAAAAATCAGGCATTTTTGGCACTATATGCAAGCAATTTCTTTTTGGAGAAAGAAAAATTCAGTGATCTCACTATACATGTAGTCATCTCATACACAAATATATGCAGCTTACAGCCACATCATGTTGAAATACCGATTCCTGAATGATCCCCAAAGTTTAGCAATGTTCAGTCTGGTCAGTGATGGGTGACTGCTTAGGAATACCAGGTGTTATAAGCTTAGATGTGTGGGTGTTGTTATGGATAATGGTTCAGAATTTTTAATTGGAGAGCAGGGTTTCAATTCCAGTTGGGTTTGTTATATTCACTGACACACAATTACTCTTGGGAAAGGTATGAATCCACCTCTTCTCCCTCCAGCTATGGGTTAATTAGTAAGACTTGTATCACTAAAGTCATTATGTACAAAAAAAAATCTGAAAGTACTTTCTGGCTTTAAATAATCTGAAAAGAGTTGTTAAGCTATAAAAAATGAATCCAAAATAAAAACAAGTATATACAGTAATTGTAAATATTTCTTATAAAGACAGTTATTATAAGCTGAAATTCACATGATTTATTTATCATACATATATTTTACCAACAGTAGTTACTCAATGTCAATTTTATTGCATAATAAAACTTGACAGTGTTCTGCTATTCTGAAAAATTATGCAATTTAATTTTCTTGCTTTGGTAATAAATTCTAGTTTTACATATTTTCAAGGATGATATTAATGCCTAACAATCGTGCCTGGGACAATTGACAGGAGGCATGGTGGAATAAAGGATAGCATCTTGAATTGAGGAATCAGCTGAGTTTGACTTCCAGTCAAATTCATTACATTCACTTACATGCTAATACCCTTGGGAAAGGTATTAATCCACCCCCCAGCTATGGGTAAATAGCAGGACATACCAGGTTCTATAGCCTTGGATGGCAACTGGTCTACTGCAGAAAGAAATGGCAATCTACTGTGGGGAAAAAATAAGCCTTGTCAGTAATGCATCGAAAGATACATGATTGCCTAAGCGTGTATCACGCATGGCTCATAACTGACTGAATTGTTCCTGTGATTTCTGGACAGCACGAAGTAAATAACATTTACTGGCATTTATAAATGACTGCACCAATGAAGAAATGTGCATATAAATCTAAGGTTATTTTTTTTTTTTAACAAGTTCTCAGTTTTCTTACTCTAGCAATGAAAGCAGTGATTATCCTGAAACAGCTGATGAGTGACAGGGCACCAGCCCACTTGAATATGTCTCACTCTGCTGGCATCTATACCTATGGGTTCAAAGATCTGCAAAAAGAATATTAATAAAGTTGGCTGAAAACCCATCTAGTTAAGCTAGTCCAGTCACAAAGTAAAGCATGATGATATTAGCAACCATGGACATTTGGGTGAGAACTTAATGAATATAAAACGTTTTTCTTTTATTATATTATTTGGGTTATAATTGTTGGTTATCAACTCTTCTCTTGATACAAGTATTCTTAGCTCTATGGCCTAACTGCTTCAGGTTAAAGCACTAGTGTGGCAGTGATAATTGAGAATGGTCTTGAATAATAATGATGTCAACTTTTCAGTAGGAAGTGGACAATACCATTTCCTTCAGTTCCATTCTTCGCCCACTGTCTTTAACTGATATTTCTGCTGTTGTAACTTTGCTTCTGGAGTAACTTTGCTTCTGGAGTTGAGGTTTTAAGATGGTCCTTTGTTTGATTATAATTTTTGACAATTTCCACTTTGGATTTTCTCTTCCCTTCCACTCTTATTTAAACTGAATAACAAACACTTACCCTTACTTTGTTTACACAACTTTAAGCCAGTCTCATCTATGCCAGCTGACTTTTTGATTAACAACTCCTATCAACAATTCATGCTAGTTTTTGATTTCATCAAATTTTGGTTAAACGGACATTTTTTTTTCCAAATTTTAAAACTTTTTTTTATCCTTTATACATCTTATATACTTGTGAAATCTATACTACCAATAACATTTTTTAATATTTAATAAACTTTGCTTAAATTTTTGCAATTACCTGTCAAGCTTTGATATCCTAAAATTCCACATACAGCTATAGTGTTGGTACTAATGGCATCAAGGAACTTTAGAAGAAAAAAAAATTGACTTTTCAAAAATAAAAAAAAAATAGATTAACCTGGACTGAAAGTAAAATGAATGGTGGGGCTTATCTTTTCATCTCAGTTTGTTAAATAAATACTTGTAGAAGAAAAAACAAATTTAATCTTTATAATATAAAAACTTGTTTAATGAGAAAGTGATATTTGCTTTCACTTTTCAAATAATTAATATTTTATAAAGGTGTTCTTATTTCTATACATATTGTTTTTTATTGTAGGCACCTGTATCTTGGATGAACATGAACCATCCACCTGACAAACCTGTTAGTATGCTTTCTATTTATAAAATTAATTACTATGAACATGGACACAATATCTTGACAGTGTTTTGAAAGTGAAAACATTATATAAATACATACATACATACAACAAACTAATTCTTGTTAACAGTTAATATATTTCAACCTTGAAAATGGCTAAATGTATAGCCGAAAGCATTTGGAAAAAAAGAACAATTGGACAGTTTTTGTATAATTTATCATCTAAAAAGAAAAAATAGATCTCATGAGAAACTGTATAAAAAAACTAAATCAAAGCACCTTGTCTGTCGTATTCAAACAAGTGTATATATATATATATATATATATATATATGTGTGTGTGTGTATGGATATATATGGTGTATTTAGGCAGCAAGAATTTTTTCAAACAGGTTTGGTTGAATAAAAATAAACAAGTTCTTTCTATCCAATTTTTTATTAACTTTTTAAAATTTTCAAATTAGCTGTTTTATATAATCATCAAATTTAACAATGTTCATTGTTGTAAGCTTTAATGTGCAAGTTTGGTAATGGGTAAGAACTCAGAATTAGAAATTAGAGACCCAAGTTCCAATTCCTGTCAGGTTTGTTATATTCATTTGCGTGCAAATACTCTTGGGAAAAGGTATGAATCCACATATTCTTCCACAGCTATGGGTTAATTAGTAGGACCTGTATCAATAAATCATTATTATCTTCAAAAGATTTTTACAATCTAAAGAGCCCAGTCTCCCCTTCTATTTAACGTATAAATAGAAGAAATGGATTCATGCCTTTCTGTGTGAAGTAAATGAATTGTGGCTTGCCAATTCCATTTTCCATGTCATCAACATGCACATCTCTTGTTGATGTATCATTTTTTTTTTTTTTTTTATTTAGGTACTTACTTAGGTTGTTTACTTCAACTTGGAAATACTTAGTTTTATATCAAGAAATACCAGGATTTTCTTTCAAGATTTTAGAGGACATTTTCCAATGGAATAATAATCTTTTGATGTCAGTTCTTTTCAACATCAAGGATGACAGTTGTAAGTCTTCAACCTAATTAAAAGAATTGTTATTTATCAGATTTTACATGTCTTGCTGTAAAGTCCAAAAGAGGATTAAAAAAAAAAATATTTGGTGGGGTTTGACACAAAGTTCCAATAATGGGAGTATCCATTAAAGACCAAAACTGCAGATAAAAACTTGGAGCATAAGCTTAAATGTTACACTATAGTAGGTACTCACTTAATTAGTGTAGCATACAACTTACCTAATAGACTAAATTTTGTACATTTTATACTATTAGCTTTCTCTGCTAATGATAAATCTTTTAATGGAAGGAAGATATAGTAACTGCTATGATTTTAAGTAACAAACAAATAAAGCTAGTTGAATAATTTTCTTAATTTGTTTCAATTGCTATAAACCCTGTTGTGTGTATAATTTCAGCACTGGCGAACAATGCCAAACTATTCCATTTTAGTAGATACACGTGACCGATTACCTCCTCAGATCACTTATGTGCCTCAAGAAAACATAGAAATTGCCTCTAAAACTCAGGTAAGAAATATTTGACAATCTTTAATCGCCAACCCCACCCCACTAAAATAAAAAAAACAGTCAAAAAGGCAGTTTTTTCTTGACACTGCTATCTATTATTTTAACTACCTTTACTCCTAGGCAATGTTTGTATGTATGTATGTATGGTTGTTTGTTAAAAAAAAAAAACAATGATTAGAATTTTAATAAAACCCAAACACACAAATAAATTTATACATTTTCTTTGTTCTTGGCAAATGACAACAAAAATAATAAAGCCTATTTATTATATTGTTTATTGAAATAGTTGGCCAAACATCAATTAATTGCCAACTGATCTAAACTTTATAAAATGGTGCATCCCCTATGCCAAAGGAACCAGCAAACCATTGCCTTGAATATCACCATGAACCAGAACTGTAAATGCAGGGAATGGTAACCCTAACTGAATAAGTGATTATTACTTTTTAGAATGTTGCCAATATAAAGTTATTCTTGTAAATAATCTAATAAATAAATAGTTTTTAATATTTATGTATAAATTCACTTTCATCATGTTTTTAGGTTTTATTACAATTCTAATCATTGCTTTTTGAAAAAATAAACACTGGCAAAGAGTTAAGGTAGCTAAAATAATAGCAGTGTCAAGAGAAAAACTGCCCTTTTTGATACATCATTTTTTTTTTTTTGCAGGTATGAATGTTAAAGATTTTACATTTATACTCATTTTTCTCTCTATGGTTTGTTTATTGATCATTGTCTACAAATATTGGATTTTTTCAAAGAGTTTATTTGGTTATTAAGTAGAAAATTTGTTTAATTAAATCAAACAAACATTTTGGTTATCACAATATTTTTATTGCTACAAAATTTAAAGTGGGAGTATGTTGAGAATTACAAGGTGATGTAATGGGTGCAAGGGATAAATTGTCGTCTAAATTAGGCAAAAATAAAAATAATACTTTAACAGATATATTTACCAAATTACACAAAAATATCTTGAAATATTAGAGAGTCATGAAATATTAGAGAGTCAATTTATTCAATGAAATCTTCAACCATGGCCTCCAGACGACTTTGGAATCTCCTGGACGGTCTCCTTATTTAAGTTGGTGAATGATGCCACCATAATCCTTGCTTTCAGTTGATCTTTGGTGTTACAAAAAGTTTTGTTGGTCTCTTGCTCAACTGTGCCCTACATATAATAATCATGGCGGTTGCAGTCTGAGGAGTTGGGTGGCCAGATGTAAAGGGTGATGTGGTTGCAGAAATTGTCTGACAGCCATGACTGGGTTCTCCTGCTTGTGTAGGTGCTATTGATGGAGATGGTGCCATAGCTGAGATTGATATTTGTATGTGGCAGAAAGAGCAAGAGTCTTCTGGCAAGCCTGCAGTTGATGAAATGCTGATTAAGCCAGATCACATGACATCAGACACCACAGAGCTACTCCACATATCTTATATGAGCATTGTAAGGCATTTGAAAGACAAGGATATGGGAATTTGCATCATATGCCTCTGTGGGGTGGAAAAAAGAAATAAATGAGCCATTGTTAACTACTGACATAACTAGTCTACATCCGAAGAAGGTGATGCTGTGTATCTAGTAAGATTGGAAAAAGCATTGTGTTAGAACCACCTTCTACCAGATCAGGTATTGAACTTGGACAAGTACCATTCCCAACTAGACTGACTGAAGGCAACAATTGATGAAAAGTGCCCATAACTGGACAATTGGAAAGGTGGCATCTTCCATCAAGATAATCTGGAAATTGGTACATACCCACCTGACAATGCACCTTTAGGTAACCTCTTAATGGAAAGAACAATTTTCTGGAAGTCTGTAAAATAAAAATCATCACCTAGAAAAATGGTAAATTCTGGAAATACCTCAAAGATGGCATAAAGTAGTGGAACAAAATGGTATATACAGTGTGACCCGGATATAAGAGATTTTCTCTGGTCCCAAATTAGAGCTTATGTTAATGTATATAAAATAGACCAAACCCGGATATAAGAGAGATTTTCTCTGGTCCCAAATTAGAGCCTGTGTTAATGTATATAAAATAGACCAAACCCGGATATAAGAGACTTCTTCTCTGGTCCCAACAACTCTCTTATATCCAGGTTACACTGTATATCTAAATAATGTCTTGGAAACACAATTATCCTAGTAGATATGGAGATTGTTTGCCTGGCATGTAAATGATTTACTCATGGTTTAGATTTTTTTTTTTTTACACATTAAATGTCAAACAGTATAAATTAATTTTCCCCATTTATAAAATCCATGCCTTGTTTTCAGTTTGTCCTCCAGCTGTGATTAGTACCAGTTATGGCATTTCCCTCCCTTCTTACAAGTTGGCAAAGAAAATGTTAAAACTGAAACAATGTTAAAATAATGTATGAAAATAGTTTTTAAATGATTTCAAACATGTGTATTGTATTTTGTTTATTTCACATTTTTAGATATTCCACCCAGAAGTTGAACACTACTTTGAAAAGTTTGATGGAGATCGCTACTTACCACAGCCATCTGTTCGCAGAATTTATCCTTATGACTGATTCTGCCTGAAAAGAAAAACAAAATTCGTTTTTGCTTCACTTAAGAAGCATTTTATACATTTGCTGAAAACAAGCACATAAATTTGTTATTACTGCCAGCTTTTTCCATAACAACCAGTAATATAGCTACTATTATTATTATTGCCATTGTAATTATATCTTAAATAGAATTATTATAGCCATTATATTTTAATAGTGGCGGTTATGCTATGTAAAAAAAAAAAAAAATTGAATTTAACAAGTGAATTATTATTTTTCTATATAAACATGCCAGTACAAACTTGGAATTGGCTTCTTAACAGTTATTCCTTAATATATTTCAGATAAGAATTGAGAAATGTAAAAAAAAAAAAGTGTAGATTATTATTATTATTATTATTATTGAACTCAAGTTGATTAGACTTTTAGAATAGCCAGTTACTGTAATATGAATAGTGAGCTGAATTTATAGTGTGCAAAAATACCTTGATAAAGAAAGAGGTTAATTTTGTTTTTAATGTAACAGGTTAATTTTTGTGAAGCATATCTACATTATCTTATTCATGAGTTAGCAACAAATGAATACCTTTCAAATATTATAAAGTTTCTCCAGGATTTCATTATACGTATAAAAGTGGTTTTCTGTGTGGCCAGGATATCATATAATTCAGGCATTTATAAATTAAAAAAGGATGATTTTAATTCTTAAATTAATAATACCGGTGGTTATATTGAATGCCGTAATGCATCTACTGTTTTAAGAGATGGGAGACAGTTTCATCACCATTTCTTTTCTGATGTATTTGTTGAAATTTTACAATTAAAACAAAACTATATCAGTTAAATAAAAATATTCTCTCAACAGACTTGAAAATTGTATTTTTTTTCGCAAGATCAAAAAATTAAAAATTATATTATTATATATTTTTAACATTAGTTTAAATTTATACTTTTAATGTTAGAAAAAGAAACTCTTTTTAAAAATATTTTTTAACTTTTCATGTCCTCTTTTTTCTAAAATATCTCAATCTACCAAATATTTAATAGCTTAACAAATACAGAATTGATAACAATAATTTTACTTTTATTTTCTTTGGGATAGGAAATTTCTGCCTTAGCCTGTCAACTTGTTTCTTAAAAAAATCCCTATTTTTCTCAGGTTGTTCTGGGTACAGGATACAATTTTAAAAAGGCAGATCACTTACCTGCACGGGAGATAACCGAGGTTTTCGTATTCTCTTAAGGGAGACAACTCAATTTGTTAGACATTTTATTTTAAACTGATAATATATTTATCATAGCAAAATTTTCGTTTTCAAAATTTAATGTTACGTCAGTTAATTACTAAACATACATGAAACAAATAACTTCAATATCTTGGGCATTTTTTTTTTTTTCATATAACAAATTCAAATATATTTGGTTTAATATTTTACAAAAAAATGACTTGGTGCTCAGAAAATATGGTTGTACATTTAGCCTGGTTTATTTTTTTAAGTCATCCCATCTTTCAGATGGTTTATTTGGCATATTACTGGTAACATTTATACAGTTTTGGATGTCCATGCATATAACAAACTTTTATGAATAAAGACCACACTACCAGATGAACAATTACAATTAAACTCCTTTTCTTTTTCTTTTTTTAATGACTGGAGAAAATTTCTGCACACAAATACAATGGCATAATTTTAGAAAGGCAAATACATTTTTTTTCTGATAATTTATAAGTATATCTCTCTAGCTGTGCATTATGTGCTGTGATCGAACTGAAAATATTAAAAACAAATTTTTTATTATGAGAATATATGTCCATTTTCTCATGTGATTGTTGTTAATAGGCAGATCTTCACTTCTTTTGAGCATGATCAAAGGTAAAAAAAAAAAAGTTTTTTTTTTTTTCTTTCTTTCTTTATCAATTTTAAATTAAAATTTGTGGAGTAAGTGGCCATGGTTAAGTGGAATTGACAAACTTCTCAATAAACAATAAGAAAAGGCACAAAAGAATATGGCAAAATAATAAGAAAGCAAACATTATACATGTGAGTCAAAACTAGACAAAGAAACAATAATGAGGCAAAATATTCACACAGTAAGTATTGTGTTTACATGAAAAAGGGATACAGTCAAATGGTTATAAGTATTATTTTTCTTACCGACCACCAGTTAGAAGCTTCTATTCGAGACTAATATCTATCTTTAAGAAGCAGTCATCTTAGTAATTATTAATTCAAGATTTATTAAAAATTCTATTTACCTTAAAAATCAAGAAATGGCCATTAGCAGAAAATGCTCCATATTGTTCTGAATGAAAAGTTATTTTTAAAAACAGAATAAAATGTTGCATCATTTATAACTTAACCTCTCTGTTTTTTTATGATAATCTTAAAAAATCTGTAAATATCATTTTAAAAGCATATATATATATATATATACAAATGCAGAATGAATGGGATTACCACAAATAACTAGGAAAATATATTTATAGATATTTTAAAAGCTAATGGCCACAAAAAAGGGGCTCATTTATTCTTACTGATGTAGATGCTGACAGCTAGCATTCTGTAAAATCGTTTGCTATTGCAGATGTTCATAGAAACGTCCATTTAATTTAATTAAAATAAGATAAAAAAAAGTATTTTTTTTTTTTTTTTTTTTAGGTGGAGTGTGATATTCACCTAACATACAAACTCCACTAGACAATCAGCCTAATGAGAGACAAAGTTTATCATCGAAATTCTGATGAGTGGAACACACAGCTGAATTAGACCTGAAATAGGACAAGAAACAGGAACACTATAGTTTCAGTAAACACACTGGAACAAGGAATGCAATATTTATGCTCAGAAAGGGCAATGCGAAAGAATATCTACACATGTTTCATAGATGATGCAAAATTTTTTGATAAAGTGCATCACCATGAACTGCTTAGTAAGCTTGGCATATTTGTGAAGGATATTAGAATAATCTGGAACTTATACTGGGAGCAAACCACTTGCATATGAATAGAAAATTAATTCAGTACATAAACAAAAGCAGAAAGACGTGTAAGACAAGGATGAGACTTCTCACCAGACTTATTCAACATTTACAGTGAAGCAATCCTGAGAGAGAAGTCCTACTAAGATTCATTATTAGCAATGATAACAACCTTAGATATGCAGATAACACAGTGTTGATAGCAGACATAGAAAGCAAACTACAGGAACTCCTACATAAGGTAGTAAAGGAAAGTGAGAAGAAAGAACTAATTATCAAGTGTAAGATGACAGAATGCATGGATGGTTGTCAGCAAAATGAACATCCCAACATTCAGATTACAAATTAGACATAAAAATTAAGCAAGTACCAGATATTTAAATATCTAGGAAGTGTTTTAACAGAAATAGAAAATGCAACACCAAAATACGAAGTAACATTGGGATAGTGAAAGATGCCTTCCAAAAGTTAAGCAAAGTATTAAGAAACAGGAAAGTTTTGTTAGAAACCAAGAAAAGAGTACTCATCTGTTATGTAATATCAGCCCTCCTAAATGGCAGTGAATCCCAGACCATCTCCTCATAAATAAAGAATAAATTTGAAGCAACAGAAATGTTTCTACAGAAGGATGCTGAGAATGCCATGGACTAAACATGGTAACAACGATGAAGTTTTTGAGAAAAAGGAAATAAAAGAATGTTTATACTTAGAATCAGAAAAGTAACAGCTGAAATTTCTAGAGCACATAAGGAGGAAAGAGGGCTTAGAATATTTACCTCAATGTCGTGGGAGTGTCAAAGAGAAAATCAGTACATAACGCACTTAATGAGCTTTTTTAAATAAATGGCTTAATGGGGATTAAGAGAATTCGGAAAAAGATAAAAGGCAGAAAATTGTGAAGAACCATGATCGCCCACATTCTGACGAGACAAGGCATATAGATGAAGAATAAATGATTTTAGCCATTTTGAATCTGTATACTTTCAAATACTTATTAACTTATGCATACAAAATCCGCACAAAAAGATACTAACTTTGATAGAATTATTTTATAAAAATAGAAAAAATATGGCCAATGGAAGATTTTTTTCCCCGATACTGCTTATTATAAGGTTGGTTGGTTAGTTTGTTTTTTTTTTGTTTATTTCTTTTTGCCTTGAACTGTTCACCGCAGGAAACTTTTGAAAACCAAATGTATCTACGAAAAAAGATGATTTTTTTTATTTGTAATAAACAAGTGAAGATAATCAGACCAAACAAAACATAAAATATTGCTATTTGTCTCCCTTTTATTAGATTATCTCCCTTGGATTTGGCTCAAATGAATCGTTTCTTTCTTTTTATCAACTAGAATTGTTTTGCATATTGTTGATGTTATCGCTAACATTTTTATCGAGATTTACAAACTCGACGTATCGTTCAATTTCGCAAACCAATCGATGAAATTCGAATAAGCTGATTTGTTTGAAAAATACCTTGATAAAAAAAAAAAAAACTTCTTAGTTTAGGACTTCATGGTAAACAATATATTTTAAGAAATTTTTTTTTCCTTTTTAACAGCTAAGAATAAATTCTTAGAATTTCTTACTCTTGGACACGCAACATAACTGGCCATGCATAAATATTACTTTCTGGAATTTAAATCCCAACTATTTCAAGCCTTTGGACTGGTTAATTATATTGCCGAAACTGCAACTAATTAAAATAAAAGTGACTTAGGAAATACCTTACGAAGGTCAATCTCTCTTTATTGAAAGGTGTGTATGGGGGTTGGGATTGACGTTCGCGACTGTAGTCATTTGACGTCTGTACCCCAATGTAGTATTTGGTGAAAGGGCAATAATAACGACTCGGTGAACTTATTTTATATGCTAAATAATAAAACTTTTACTTTCACCAAAAATGGAATGAAAATTTATTGTACTAAGCTATGCACCCTAGTAAAACCAATTGTACTTTGTACCCACTTAACTGTTTGCATTTCTCCCCAAAATTTGGTTTTGATCGGTCAATGTAGGTAACTCCATGAGATCGCTAAAAAA